TGCTAATAAAACTGCCACATAATAAAACATGGCTTAAAAAATTAAATACGTACCATGTTAAAAAGGTTGAGGATATTGCTATTGTTAAATTTGTTAAGATTATCAATTTAATTGTAATTTTATTAATGCGGTCAAAGAAATTGCGTTTTTTTAGCAAATTTTCATCACACGTGTTTCACCAAATAAATAATTTAATGGTTTGAAATTTCTAGTCTTTGCAGTCAATGTCATCGAAACAAGACAAGGAAAGCAAAGCTTCAACAATGGAGATGGATTCGACAATAGCTACAACAGAGGAAACTGAGAAGGTGAGATGAAGGTGAGAGATGGGTGAGCTACAGACAAAAGATTGAGAGTGAGACCGTGAATGAGAGTGATGAAAATTAAAATAAATTAGGATTAGGTTTAAATGTAGGGGAATGGGGTGAGTTGGGTTGGGTTGGGTTGGATAGTATTGAGTTAAGTTTAATTGTAATTGGATTTGATTTGGGTTTGGGTTTAAAGAATAAATTAATTTTAAAATAAAAACTTTTTTTTTTTCGCAGGGATGGGATCCCACGCGGCAGGGAAAATTTCCCGTGAAATTTCGCGGGGAGAAAATGGTCCCATCCCCGCCCTGCAAGAAGAAATATTTCTTCCCGTCTCGTCCCGTGATGGTGATCCCGCGGGATCCACAGATAGCGGGGAGAATTCCCATCCCTACGTCCCGTCTTATAAATCAAGAGATTTCAGTGTGATCCAGACTTCCAGAGTTGAGTAGATAGACAGAATGGCGAAAATGAATTTCAGCTCTGCTTCGATTTTACTACTCTCGGTTCTTTTCACAGTATGTATGTCACCATCGAAACTCGTTTTCGCCATTCCTGATTTCTTGCTAGATCTAATTACTGGTTTGATGTCGGAATCTAAAGTTCTGGTTTCATTTTCTTCTTAGCTTCTGCTGAGAAGTCCGGCGACGTAAATGAACTGCAAATCGGCGTTAAGTTAATTCAACTTTTTCCATTTTCTTGATTTTCTTTTTGTAGGTTTACATTTATTTTTTCTAGATAATACGGTGAAAAACTTAGCAATGAATTCTTACTAATTGTTTTTCATTTAAAATGTTCATCATAGAGCACATCTTGACAGGAATAAGACTTTAATTTGTTTAGAATCAGATGTTTCCTCGGATCTGCTGGATACGATTCATGTGTATGTTCTGAAACATGAGCTTTTTACTCTTGTAGTTGTCAGCTTCTCGTTTGATGCATTTTGTTTACAGATGATTAAGCTCAGTTCGCTGTTTTCATTTTGTCGTTGTTGCTCACCTTTTCGTTTACTCGTACCATTCACAGCATAAGCCTGCATCCTGTGAACATCAAACTCATAAAGGTGACAGAATCAAAGTACACTATCGGGTGAGTTGGAACTGTTTCAGCTGGATGTTTAGTTTATGTTCAATGTCCTCACTCCTAGACCTATGTGATGAATGTTGTGCTTTGCTAAACTAAGAGATATAAAGGTCAATTTTGCATTGATGCTATCTAAGTGTTGAATTTAGTCCCAAGCTAGACTGAGCTAGTTTTGAAGCCTAGAGCAAGATGGAGGTGTGTATCACATGCACCTTTCTTACCATTGTTCTGTATGAGGATCATATTTGAGTAGTCATAGTTCAATACCATGATGTATTTGTATTTTTCCCTCAAGCTAGTAGCCATTTTATATGATTTTTCTAACATAACGGGGGATGATCTGTGTGCATGTCAGGTATAACAGGACAGACAATGCTATTAGCATGGTAAGAATTCAAAATTTTGTCTTTTTTCCCTGATATGTAAAACTGATTGACTGATTGACATTTATCTCCAACAAAAGGGCTTGTTGTGTGTCTTGCTTGTACTTGTATCACCATTTCATCATAAAAGTTTATTCTTTCATTTTGAAAAAATATTATCAGAGTTGTCTCCTTGGTTTACATCAGTCATTTATCTTTGCAGAGACAACTCATTGATGGAAATGTTTTTGATTCCAGCTTTGAGAGGGGTGATCCTATTGAGTTTGAGCTTGGTAGTGGTCAAGTAGTCAAAGGTTTGTGTGAGTGTGGGGAGGAGGGGATGTGACTTCAGGCTGCTTTTGCAAAACTTAGTCATATTGGTTTTTTTGCTTTTGAGGCTTCGTTGCTGATGTTATTGTTCAAACCTCTCTTTGTTGGATGGGACCAAGGATTGCTAGGAATGTGTTTTGGTGAGAAGCGTCAGTTGAAAATACTTGCAAAACTTGCTTATGGACCACAGGGTTCCCTGCCAACCATCCCAGGTAACTGTTTCTCCTCTCTTTATCCTTTTATTTTCCACAAGCAGTCACGATGGGTTTGCTTCTTTTGTGTTTCTTACATATTGTCTGCTGTTGTAATATTTGAATTGAGAATCAGAACCTTGTTTAGTTGTTAGCTCCTAGGAATATATATATATATATATATTTGGACTAAAACTCTAGATTAACATTTATGCTTTTTTTCTTCCCTTCAAAGACCCATTAAAGTGCTAAGTAATGTTTCAACCAACATGACAGATGATAAATAACTAAATAGGTAATCTTAGGTTCAAGTACTTGAAATTGTGAAATTTCTTATTTATTTATTTTTTTTCTGTGTTATCAATGTCTGTACCAAGGGGAGTTAGCTGCTAGGCATTGGAGGGGTTCAAACTCTGACCTTGAACCCAAATCAAGGCTTTTATATTAGTGGATATCAACTTAACCAAGCTCTTGTTGGTGGTAACATATGTTTATGATATTAGTCAATTAGTAGATATCTTCATTGATTGAGCAAGCACTCAGTTCAGATATCGTTAATGTTATCCAAAATAAGAGGTTCAAGCACTTGAAAATGTGGAATATAGATTTATTTGTAGCATTACCAAATATCAACTACTGTTCCAATAGTTTTGCATCATAAGTAAGATATGCTTAAGGACATCATAAGGAACTCCATCTAGAATTGCCAAGTAGCAACATTGGGTAATTGGAACAAAATCATTTTGTGTTGTTTAATTTCTTATTTCTATCTTTTTCTTTAATTTTTATTTTGTTGTATTTCCCCTTTCTCTTCATCAGTTAGAAAGTACATTCAACATGACATGTCAGAAAATTGCAGGTGGAGCAACTCTAATATTCGACACAGAGCTTGTGGCAGTTAATGGGAAGACAGCAAGTGGGGAAAATGCTAGTGACAGTGAGATATAGTCATTAATCTAGGGAAGCAGTTTATTCTTGTCTATTTTCTTTAGCTAAAATACAATTAGGATTCAGGGGCATTTGGATTAGACTGAAGATAGTTACCAATAATCCTTCTTCATTAGCCTTATTGTTTTGGTGGAATTTTGGAGTATTTTGGTAATTGGGTAACCTTTTCCTACCATGGCAATTATAGTGCTTTCGAGATGTAACGTGGTTTCCTGTTTTATGATTTTGGGTTTGTTTGGGTCCTTCGGGATTGTTATCAATGTTAAAAAAAGGTACCATGAAGTATGAAAGCAATGGTAATAAGAAAAAAAAAATTAATCTTAAGATAAGAAGAATATAAATATTATAAATAGGTACTTTTAGACTTTTATTATTGAAAATTATTGTACTTCTTTTGGTCAATTTTAATAGTTATAGTTTGATTTTTTTATTTTTTAAACATTAATTTTAGATAAAAATGAAATAATTTATGTAAGTAATAATTTTTTCTATATGTAGTTTTTATTTAATATTTTTATGTAATAAAAAAATTTTAATTATCATTTATATAATATATTAAATTTTTATAAAAAATTTATATATAAAAAATCAAAATATTAAATTAAAACTGTTAAAAATAACAAAAGGACTAAGAAGCACTGCAATGGGCCGCATAAAATTACTCTCTCTAGTTTTATGTTTTTATTTTTTAAAATAAAAAATTAAGATGAAGGTTTAACATAACATGTAGACAATAATTAAAAATTTACTTTGATCAAGTTAAATTATTAAACAAGAAATACGTTGAGATAAAAATTATTTTTAATTATTATTTATATATTATGTTAAATTTTTAATTAAATTGTTATCTTACAAGTTAAAAGTTAAATTCAATTTCAAACTATTATTATTATTGAACGGAAAGAATATATAAATGGGTATGTTCACAGCTAAGCCTGTTGGTTTGCAAGAAGGTGTACCGTCTGGTCGTGCGTGCGAAGTTGCGGTGTTGTCTAGCCAAGGTATTGCGTAAAGGTTTGTGCGCAACGTTGGTGGGAGGGGACCGAAAGGTTTGCGTGCAACATCGTAGGAGGGAACAGATCTCGGGACGAAAAACGGGGTTGCGCTTATAGGAGGTGATAATAGTAGTTGTTGGCATGGTAGAGAAGTAGCCTGTTACAGAGATTCAAATGATAGAATGAGTGGCACTTTCCTCTAACTAGTTAATACCCCGGGCATCGCCCGGGCCGTGAAATGAAAAAAAAAAATTATTTAAAAATTTAATATAAATTAATATATGAATAAAAAAGTAATTAATAAAATATTATTAAAATACATATATAATGTTATATAAGGTTAGTAATATTTTTTTTATTAGCAAAGAAAATTTCATTAAAGAGGTGCAAAAAGTACCTCAAATTTGTTTATAAAACTATTATGAAATAAAAACTAAAATTTAGTATTGAATGAAGATAATCATATCCAAAAATCCTTCTGCTGGCATGATTCTTTTTCGTACCATTATGCAATAAAAAATTCTCATTTTTGAAATAAGTTTGTTTAATCATATAAAAGGTATGCGTTAGATGAAAATGTTAATGTTTTGTATGGACTTCAGCATACTTGCTTAGACACAAACAAAGAGAAAAGAACAATATATATCTGAGATCTATTAGTTTTTTTACCTTTTTTCTTGATTTTACATATCACAAGTTAACCTTTTATCTACAACAACAGTTGCTTTACTAGATGTTGACTTAATGTACTCCAAGAGGGGGAGTGAATTGGAGTTCCAAAAATTCTCTCCTTTTGCAATCATAAAACCAAAATTAAAGAGAATAGAGAAGAAGAGCTTGCTCAATGATTTCATAGAGGTTCGGTCCAACCACTTGGAACCTAATCCTCTACCTTAGCTTCACCAAGGATTTCCTCCACACTCTCCACTAAGAAAACAAGGGTGACTTAAAGGAGCCACTCAATCCTTTTACAAGAAAAATGGTGTTTCTCTCAAACTTCATCCCTTTATAATATAAACCCCAAGAATCCTCTCTATAGATTACTCTTGAAGGATTAATCACACCCCCAAGATCACTCACAAATAGAACAAGAAGGGGATTACAAGTAAAGATCTCTCAAAGATAAAAAACTCAAGTTAAAGCACATGTAGGTAGGTAAAGATATTCAATGCAAGGCTCTCTAAACTTGTTTCAGATCTTCTACCAACTATATTTATAGCCCCATGGTCGAAAATAGCCGTTACTAGCCGTTGGGGTCATTAAATGCTTACATGGCGCATGGTTCGAGTTGTAGAATTGTCAACGCAACCGGCTTAGGCTTCTAGAGCCAGCTCTATACAGTTGGCCTACCATTTCTGCAGCTGGCTTTGCGGGTTTCCTACATTCTATTTTTTTCGTAGAGCCAGCTTAAAAATTCTGCAGCTGGCTTTGCAAGTTTCCCGCACATTCTATTTTCTTCCATAGCCAACTGCAAAGTCTAAAGTCGGCTTTGGGATTCCAACTTTAAAAATATTAAATAATCTTCAAATCACTCAACTATTGTGCATTAAATGTGCGCTCACAACCGATTGCAAAGTTAAAGCCGGCTTTACGTCTGTTTTCCGCACACGCCAAACAACAGACTTGAAAGTTTTTCCCGTAGAGCCGGTTGCAGCTTTTACAGCCAACTCTCTGCACTTCTACAGCCAGTTGCAAGTTTTAACAGCTAGTTTTCTGCACATTTTCAAGCCTTTTGGTCCATTTTTAGTGCAGTCCAAGTTTACTTACTTTGCAATCTTTTGACATTTTAACTACATACTTAAATAAACCAATTAGTCACTTAAATGTGTTTTGTAATCATCAAAATCGTAGGTACAACAATCTCCCCCTTTTTGATAATGACAAAACACTTTGAAAATAAATTAATGAAAGCACATATATATTTCAATGAGAGCTCATATGGAAACAAAAATTTCAGCATACTTTCTCCCCCTTTTCGTCATCCATCAAAAAGCATATAAGCATAATCAACAAACTCCCCCTTAATTCATGCATACAACCTTTAAAGCGTCAAAAATATATGGTTTAAGCACAATATCCACAAATTGCTCCCCCTCAATGAAAGCACTTAATATTATAATCATCAAAATCATAGGCAATCATAAAGTCATATACAATTAAAATCCACAATTCATGATAATAAGCTAAGAAATGTGCATAGATAATGAGGGCAAATTTTGGGAGAGAATCAAATCTTGAATGTGAAGAGAGGAAAATGGCCAAATATTAAAAACCTATCACAATCAAGAGGCTTTGTAGTAAACAAAGATACCTCATTCCAAGCAACTATGAAGGTCAATAAATTCTTTCTCTCCTTTTTGTTATCCAACAAAAAAAGTTTGAAGACCATATGAAGAGCAAACAATAGAGCTCCCCTTTAATAAAATGACTCATGAAAACATGAACATACTTATATAACAATCTCATTAGTAGCACCAAAAACAATGTTAATGCCATCATTAAGTACAACATGTACATTTCTTACACTTGAGATATATTATCATTTATCACATTACCTTTATAAGATTTCTCTTTTGGGTGGAATTATAACCTTTGTTTGTGTGCTTGTTGCATCTCCTCAATCTTGTTCTTTTCACTTGCTTCACATGGAGCTTGTGTGATGCTATTGCCTTCAATGTTCATTCTTATCTTTGTTACCCAATAACATCTACATCACTATTTCACAACTCTTTCTAGAGCAAATGGGGTTAGTCTCATTAAATACCACATGAATAGATTCAACACTATTACTCCTTTTTATATGTATCGTATCATATGATAGCAAATATCAAAAATTTTATTCATTGAAATCAACCATGACTATGCAAGCATTCAAGTGCATGACATATACTTGAACATAATCAAATATCATCAAAATCATCCATCAAAAAGCAAACATAAAAATTACCTAATATACTTAACTTCCAAGTATAAGACTCTTCCTAAGATCATGGTTAACTTCTAAGTGCTATCATTAAAATTATGAAAATAATGAGACAAGTAAATTTGAATGAGACAAACAATGTAAAGTAAGACAAGTTATTAAAATTACTCATTTAAATCAAATCATCAACCATCTTCAAAGTGACACATATGACATTGAAAATCACTTATACCATCAAGAGCTCATTATGAGCTATATATGATAGATAATCAATCTAATCATTCACATATGTCAATTATGTAAATATGATACAAGTAATATCTATAGCAATCAACAAGGTTGTATCAACACTAGAAAAGACACATCAAATGAAATTATACTCAACAAGCATATGTATCAAAAATATGTATCAAAGAGTGAGCACACATAAGCAAATAATTAATAATCATGTTAATGTAATTATACTCAATGAATAAATGCAATAAGATAAATAATACCAATTGAGCACATGAATGGGGCATTCCAAAAACAAAACAAAGTTTTCTTTGCACTTTCACTCCAACATTCTTGTTGAGGCATAATTCTTTATCAAGATCAACTTTGTTCTTTTTATGACTTTGCCATCAACTTTACCTATAAAACAAAATTAAGTTTTGATTTTTGATACCCAAATTTGCTTGGGTCCATGGGGGTTAGTGCTTAAAATTCCTTTTGGAACCCAAATTTGCTTCACTTTACCTTGAGCTATCAATCTCTTTAAAGGACATACATAGGCAAAGTGTCCCTTTGCACCACAACAATAGCAAGTAACATTAGGATGAGAGGATTGACTTGCTCTTACAAAAGAATTCTTAAAAGTCTTTTGGTTTTTAAGAATAATCAAATCCAATGCCTCCTTTGTCATAAATACTTCTTTGAGATTTTACAATAGAATCAAAATTTTCCTTACTCAAGGTAAATTTGGAAATTATATTCTTAAGATCACCAGCTTTTCTCTTTAAAACCTCATTTTCCTTCTTTAAATCTTCATTTTCCTTCTTTGCATCCTTATTTTCCTTCTTTAAATCCTCTTTTTCCTTTTCCAAAGCATTATTAGACTCCTCATTCTTTAAAGATGCAATTTCACCATTTAAAAAGGCATTTTCTTTAACTAAAACCTCATTTTTGTTTTGAAAGAGATTCAATCTCATTTTTAAGCAATGAAATGGTTTTAGTAAGAGCAAGATTCTCATTTCCTAGTTTCTTGATATCATTCATAGAGCAGTCAAGAACTTTGCATAAATCATCATAAGAATACTCAAAGGAACTTTCATTAATTGAACTAGAGAAGTTAGAGTTTGCCTCCTCATCATTATTGCTATCCTCTTGAGCCATGAAGCAAAGATTTGCAATACCATTCTCCAAGGAGCTTTCACTTTCCGTTGAGCTACATTCATCATTGCTCTATGTGGCAACAAATGCTTTGTTTTTCTTGCCTTTCTTCAATTTGGGGCATTCATCTCTATAGTGTCCCATCTCATTGCACTCATAACATTTGATATGCTTCTTGCTTGGCTTCCTCTATCATCATCACTACTACATATTCTTCCTCTAGAGTAGTGAATTTCCTTATTTCTTCTAGAGGATTTCCCTTTGAGGCTCTTCTTCATATATTTCTTCACTTCTTTTCAAACCAATTTGGTGATGTCCTTCTCACGGCTAGACTCATCATCACTAGCATCATCTTCACTTTCTTCTTTTTGTTTGCTAGCCTTGAATGCAACAGCCTTTCTTCTTCTCAACTACTTCAACTCCACCATCAACTTGAACTTCTATCTCACATGTCATCAATTTTCCAATGAGATCTTCAAGCTTTAAAGTGTTGAGATCCTTAGACTCTTCAATTGTGGTCTTCTTGGCTTCCCAATTCTTAGGCAAACTTCTAAGAGCCTTGAGATTGGTGACTATATCATTCAATCGTGTATACGTATCTTGAATGCTCTCCTCCAGTTCAATCTTAAAAAGTTCATACATGTGAATGAGTCTATTGATTTTTGACTCCTTCACTTGGCTTGTTCCTTCATATGTTACCTCCAACATGTCCCACATCTCCTTAGCCATATCACACCCGAAAACTCTATGGAATTCCATTGGATTGAGAGCACATTGAAGCATGTTAATTGCTTTGTTGTTGATCATGATCTGCACCAAGTCTTCATCATTCCATTCAACTTCTTCCTTTGGCACCTCACTTTCCCCAACTACTTTCATAGCCACATATGGACCTTTCATAGTCACAATCTATGCCTTGGGCACATTTGCAAACATGAAGACCTTTATCCTATTCTTCTAATAATTATAATTAGTACCATCAAAGAAAGGAGGCTTGGTGGTAGACAAACCTTCAAGTGGTTGAGAAGCTTGAAATTGAGCCATCCCCGATCAACTCCTAGGTGGTTAAACCTTCAAATTGAAGCCCTTGCTCTAATACCAATTGTTGACTCAATGTACTCCAGGAAGGGGCATGAATTAGAGTTCCAAAAATTCTCCCTTTTGCAACTACAAAACCAAAATTAAAGAGAGTTGAGAAGAAAAGTTTGCTCAATGATTTTATAGAGGTTTGGTCCAACTACTTAGAACCTAGTCCTCTACCTTGGCTTCACTCACTAAGGATTTCTTCCACACTCTCCACTAAGAAAACAAGGGTGGCTTAAAGGAGCCACTCAATCATTTTACAAGAAGAAGGGTGTTTCTCTCAAACTTCACCCATTTACAATATAAACCCCAAGAATCCTCTCTATAGATCACTTTTGAAGGATTAATCACACCCTCAAGATCACTCACAAATAGAACAAGAAGAGGATTACAAGTAAAGATCTCTCAAAGATAAAAAACTCAAGTTAAAGCACATGTAGGTAGGTAAAGATATTCAATGCAAGGCTCTTTAAACTTGTTCCAAATCTTCTACCAACCATATTTATAACCCCATAGTCGAAAATAGCCATTACTAGTCGTTGGGGGTCATTAAATGCTCTGTAGGACGCATGGAGTCGGCTCTGTACAGCCGGCCTACCATTTCTACAGCCGACTCTACGAGTTTCCTGCATTCTGTTTTTTTCGTAGAGCCAGCTTAAAAATTATGCAGCCGGCTTTGCGGGTTTCCTGCACATTCTGTTTTCTTCCATAGCCAATTGCAAAGTCTAAAGCCAACTTTGGAATTTCAACTTTAAAAACATTAAATAATCTTCAAATCACTCGACCATTGTGCATTAAATGCACACTCACAACCGACTGCAAAGTCAAAGCTAGCTTTGCATCTGTTTTTCGCGCGCACCAAACAACGGACTTGAAAGTTTTACCCGCAAAGCCGGCTGTAGCTTCCAGAGCTGGGTCTCTGCACTTCTATAGCCGGCTGCAAGTTTCAACAACCGATTCTCTGCACATTTTCAAGCCTTTTGGTCCATTTTTAGTGCAGTCCAAGTTTACTTACTTTGCAATCTTTTGACATTTTAACTACACACTCAAATAAACCAACCAGTCACTCAAATGTGTTTTGTAATTATCAAAATCATAGGTACAACAGTAGAGACAAAAGGTACCACGCTTGTCCTTTTATTACCAAAATTCTCTTCTGCCACCTCCACTCTTTCTCCCCCTTACTTTATTCCCTTGACTGAACATGTATCTAGACCTTAAATCTATGTATTTAAACCTCAAAAATAAAAATAAATAAATAAAAACAGTCTAAAGAAAGAAATTGATATATCTGCACATGGAAGAAACTTGGAAAAAAGACACGGAAGAGTTATAAAGAAAAAACATTCACTCCAAAAACCAGCTAAATTAAGAGAAGCACAAAAGAGGCATTCTCTTCAATTCACAAAAAGAGGCATACTCCTATTCCTACAAAGGTGATAATTTTTTACCTTGCACTATCAAAGTCACCTCAGGATAATACATACTTATTTTTGAATCTAGTAGCATACTTAAACAAATAACAAGTTATTTATTCCCAGAAGAAAAGAAAAAATCCAAAAACGAAAAGGTACCTCTCAAGAATTTGATAAGGATCTACCATAAGCTCTAGTTTACCATTAATCCATAAAAAAAAAAAAA